GCTCTGCTTTTTAAAGACAGAAGCAAAGACGAAGAAATCAAACACACTTGTCGTAAGAGAATCTGAGAGAAAGCTTCCTCTGTCTTGTTCTGAAAAGACAGAAGAACCTATTAAATTTTTAAGTGATTTGAAGAGAGAAATTTTAGTAGGAAGAGATAACTTAAGCAAAAAGGAACAAACTTTTTGGAGGTATATATGGAGAATTCAGAACTGAGTGAAAGATTTCACCGGAATTTTAGGAAGTGATGTAATAATAATAATAACAAAGTGATTTAAGATCGATCGCACATTTTAGGATCTGATCTTCTTGGGAACTTGCTTTGCTTTTGGAACATAGTCACTGCTTTTGACTTTGTTTTTTGTGTACGTGCTTGTGTGAAAGAACAGAAGAAGGGTCGATGCAGGATCTGACACGTGTCCAAATGTGAATAATCTTGTAGTATTAAAAATTGTTAAAATTATGAGAGAAACATTTAAAAGAATGTCGTGTGGTGAGGTTTTCTATTGCATGTTGGTTGATTTCGACCACTTATAAAATGTTTTTAATTCTCTTAAGAGTTTGAAGAATTCCGTTTTCCTAGTTGAATTATTTTATGAGATAACTAGATGAAAAGGATGAAAGGATTATTGTTGATGTGTTTTATATAAACGTAAAAGAGATAATATTTGCATGGGGTTAGCAATTATTTGCCTAAATATGGCTTAATTATGTTTTTATATTTTTTTTTTAAAAATTCTATTTAGATCTTAAGTTCTTAACACAATTATTTTGATATAGTGGTTTTTATTGGTCCATTTCAAACTAAATTTCACTTTATAAATTGATAATAAACATATCATGTTAAATTTTCCGAACTTACAACCGCAAATAATCCCCACCCAACCTACCTACATATTAGTCTTGTAGGAACAAAATAATTGATTGGATCACTTTTCTTACATTTAAATTTCTGATGTGATTCAATGACTAAACGAAATAAATACGCACAAAAAGTATTCAATTTTTAAATAGATTTCATTCATTAATTGTATGTTGACAAACAAAATAGACAGAAGTACTAATGTATAATGGTTACTTATATAAATTAAAAATGAAAGAAAATTTGTCTTTTTTAAGTTGAGGTTCAAACTCTTAAACGATGTAAATGTTTTTTTTTTAATAATAAAAGTTTCATTTTGTCAAACATATATATATCTTTGTTTGTTGTTATCGCAACTATATTGTAAGTAATCAAGTATAATTACGAATTTATGAGATAGACTCATACATATCAAGCCGAAAGTTTTTAAGTTAGATAATACGAATTAAGAAGAAGATAATTACAATTATTGCCAATGGATAGGTCTCGGAGATATATATTACAGACAGAGCTCGAAACCGTTCCTTTCGTTAGAAACAACTTGTGGTTATTGTATCTTTAATCATTCCAAAAAGATTTATTGCAAATTTAGACCCCACTTTCTCATTTGTCTGCTAGATATTTTATCATTTCTTAGTTTTCCGTTTTATCGTCGTGATATTTTATTGAATATATTGTAAAAGAACACTAATGAAATTTGAGTAACTTAAT